AGGACACGTTTAAGCAGATACAGAAACATTACCCGGTGTGAAGGAGAGAGGGTACATTCCAGAAAATACAAAAGGACAGAACAACAGCAGAGGAGACTGACAGACACAGGAAAGCAGCAGACACAACGGTGTGGGGTTGCAATGACCAATACCTGAGCGGCATTCAGCCAGAAGTGATCTGAACCGCACCAGCAGCCGGAACTCCACCAGCAACCAGGTGGGAAGGAACTTTCATCTGGAGCTCAGGAGGTAAACCCAGACAAAGAACTGCCCAACCTGCTGGTATATTTGATTTGACCAGCAGAGGTACGGCAGCAGATCCCAGGCGAGAAGTGTGGGAACAGGCTGGACTTCACAGCCCACTCCATCCTCTAGAGCTGAATTGGGAGCCATCTTGTACAGGGAGGCAAAGTCTATGGACAATACCGTGCATACACTGAGCTGGGAGTAAACTCATTTCTGGCTCAGTGAACTGCAACAACGTGGCACCCTACAGGTTAAACCCAAGATAGGTCCAAATCGCCCTCAGACCTGACAGCCAGCAGATCAAGAACTCTAGTAGTGGCTCATCAGGCACCATTTTGTACAGTGTGGAAAAACGAAGACTTCAGGGACAACAGTGAGCTGTGTATATGCAGAGCTGGGAGACAACTCACTGAGCTCAGGTCACTGCAGTGATCCCACATAGAAAATAATACCAACTTTAGCATCATATGGATCAAAATAGGTTTGTGTGGCCCTCAGACCTAATAGCCAACAGGTTCCAGCAAGATCAGCACCACCAACAACCTAGCTACATAGGACACCTGGTGTTTCCCTAATCCTGGGAACTACTCTAACAGGAAGTGGGAGAAAGGTTGTACAGACAACGGTGCAGCCTCAGAACGGTATCACAGGAGGTGGAGAGTGGCGAGCTAGGAGCTGGGGCTATGGAGAGAATCATAGAAGTTTAACATAAGAATCCAGGGCCAGGTGGTGTGGCCTAGTGGCCAAAGTCCTCGCCTTGAACACGTCAGGATCCCATATGGGCACCGGGTCTAATCCCAGCAGCTCCACTTCCCATACAGCTCCCTGCTTGTGGCCTGGTGGCCTGGGAAAGCAGTCGAGGATGGCCCAATGTTTTGGGATCTGTGTGGAAGACCTGGAAGAGGTTCCTGGCTCCTGGCTCTGGATCAGCACAGCACCAGCCATTGTGCTCACTTGGGATGTGAATCATCAGATGGAAGATCTTCTCTATCTCTCCTTCTCTATATATATCTGACTTTGTAATAAAAATAAATAAATCTTTGAAAACAAACAAACAAAAAAAATAAGAATCCAGACCTAGAACTCACTGGATGGCAGTGGTACAAGGGATTGCAAACAAAGAGCCATGTACCAACCACAATAAGTAAAATCGAAGTGTAGACCTGTGCGTGACATAGCTTAAAAAACCTGCTCCAAGATCTGATAATTAGAAGTACAATAACCAAGAGCAAAAAAAGAGACAAACACACAATGAATATTATGGAAGACTCCCCTGCAAAGGAGCAAAAGCATTTGCTAACCTCAGAGTTCACTGAGGAATACATCAAGAAAATGGGAATACAGAATTCAAAACATTTGTTACAGAGCTTCTTATCAACAATGAGAAGCACTTAATACAAGAGTTCAAAAATTTAAAGAACATGTCACACTGGAACTGAATCAAATGAAAGCTGATATATCAGAAATGAGGAATACAGTGGAGCAAAGTAAAAGTACAGCGAAGAGTCTCCAAAATAGAATGAAGGAAGCAGAAGAAAGACTCTCAGACTTGGAAGACAATTCCTATCACCAGGAGACAACAAACAGCTGGAAGCAGAGCTGGGTCAGGCCAAAAAAAGTATTCAACAATTGAAAGACACTATTAAGAGGCCTAATGTAAGAGTTATGGCAGGATCCAATGCAGTATGCATCTTTACTTCCAGATCAAAGATGGACTCCCAATGAAAGCGTTTACTATATCTCGGCAACAGGATGCTGGACTCTTTGCCATTATCCATGCCTGCAATGATGGACATTATTTTTGTTTATGAAAAATTATACTATAATAATAATATGGGGGAACTACTGGAAGAGGAAGGAACTTGGGGAGGAGGTAAGGGAAATATCAGGGCCTATGAAACTGTATCATAAAATGACGACAATAATTTTTAAGAAGTATACATATGTGTGTATGTGTGTGTATATAAAGAGAAACCTACCTGATAGCTCTAAATCTCACTTAATCTAGGTTACTTACCAAAACTTGAAATTCAATTTTTATATTTAAGCATCATGTTGCATTTCAGTCAAATTTCTACAGTCAGAGGAAAATTTCAATAGTGATACAACTGTTACGTTCAAGCAGCTTAAAAAAAATCACTAGTATTGGGCCTGGTGTGATGGCATAGTGGCTAAAAGTCCTCGCCTTGAACATGCCAGGATCCCATATGGACGCTGGTTCTAATCCCGGCGACCCTGCTTCCCATCCAGCTCCCTGCTTGTGGCCTAGGAAAGCAGTCGAGGATGGCCCAAAGCCTTGGGACCCTACATGCCAGTGGGAGACCTGGAGGAGCTCCTGGCACCTAGCTTCAGATAGGCTCAGCTTTGGGCGTTGCGGTCGCTTGCGGAGTGAACCATCACCCCAAACTCCAGGGACCAGGCTGCAAGGGCATGGTCTCAAGGCTCAGGGACTCCTGCAAAGTCCTTGATGTGGACTAGACAGGGAACGAGTAAGCAAAGCAGCTGGGAGCCTGCTGCAGCCCAGCACAGTGCCTAACTCTACCCACTTAGGTGCAGGCTGGCACACCCATCCCCTACGTATGTACCTAAGCCTCACTCCCCATCAAGCACAAGACACCTGACCATGGTCCTACAGATTACACTGCCCTAATTCCCACTCCATGTGTATATGCAACCAGGACACCACCCCCTGCTCCAGAGACCTCCGAAACTTCAATGGGAGTGGTGTCCTTCTTTCTTCATATAGAGAGAATGCCTACAATCATGCTTGCATGCGCACTACCATCTAAACAGTGGCTGTCCTCTATGCTTATCTGCTTTGAATTCTTCTCTATTGCCAACCACAGTGACAGCCTGTGGCGTCTCTCTGGGAGGGGACTGTTAACCACGTTTTAGGCCTACCTGGCCATTCTTCCAACCATAACGTTTAAGAGCCACCACAAGACTTGCTGAGAGTCAGAAAGCTAACCCTAAGGGGCTATCCCTACCGATGAGTAAAGGGGTGGCACAAGTCCCAAGCCCCTGCTGCCCAGTAATCTGTGCAAGGATAGAGCCTGGCCTCTGGTCCCACGCTGTGCCCAAGGTGCCTAGCTGCACAGTGCTTGTGTGCGTAAGGGGTCAGTTTCAGACTCCTGTTCAATTCTGGGGCTTTGTGCACCCTGTTGCACTGACACTCACCCCATGTCACGCCACGCTTGCACACTGGTGGGTGTAGTATTAGTAGGTGTTTCTTGCTCTTCTTTTTTGCACACTACAGTTAAGCTGCGCTCAGGGACCCCAGTGATGGAGTCGAGAAGTCTGTACTTTAATAGCTGTCTCAACACGCAGTCCCGCAGCAGAACCATCCCTAAGGACACAAGGACCAGAGTGGGACTTCCGCTTTTTGGCACTCATTTTTCATCTCTACTCTGCATCCTGACATTATTCAGAAAACATCTGCAACAATCTGAAAGTTCCGCACTTCCATACGTTTTTCTTTCTGGCTACTGGTGGCCAGCACCCAGCACTCACATCAGTAGCCTACTCCTCTTTTCATTACAACCAAAAACTCTACCCAATTTACCAATAATCTTAAAACCAACAGTGCACTCGGCCTGACCTACCCTTCTCACTCTTGCACCAAAACTTCTCTTTAGCCTCAGCTACACTCTAAGCCCCTACCGCTGTTTCTTTCCTTCCAGCAAATACAAACCTCATGGCATATTCAGTCCCTGAGGTACCCAGCACAGATAACAGTCAGCCATGCCCTCCCATCAGCCACCATGGGTGGACTTCTCCACAACAGGATCCCGCCCAGCACCTGCCAGCCCTGCTCAGGCGGCCACTGGACGGGGTTGGAATGCTACCTTAGCAAGCTGTTATGCTTAGACTTCGCTTCCATCGTAGCTCAGCTTGGCCTAGTGATGATAATCATGATCGTAGCTAACAGCTACAGAGCACCAGTTGAATCATAGCTGCTATCTCATGTCATTGTCTCAATTCCTCTGTGGGGTGGGCCCCTGCTCATTTCCCAAAGGAACATGAGACACGGAGGTTAAGAGAGATGACATAGTTGCTGCAGGTGCTACAGATGGTACTCATGGGTGACAGAGTTTAGACGTAGGCTCATCCAGCCCTTTCCACGAGTCCACCCCTCTTGCTCTACTGAGAGAAGTGAAAGGAGAACAGGAAAAGCCGCTCTACCTTCCGCCTCCCACCAAGCTCTAGGGAACAGCTCCCAGGGGTTGCAAACCCTGCTCCTGTTCTGCTCTTTAGACTCTGAGAGAGACCACTGCTGTGGCGTCCCATCCTCAGCTTATTCCAGTTCAGCCCCACTGGTTGGTGACAGTGAGTCAACACAAGAGCATTTCTGGAGAGCTTACTGATGAGTATTCTGTAGAAGCCTTTGCCTTTAAAATGTTTATATATTTGAAGGAAAGAGAGAGACAGGCAACGGGGAGCTCCCATGTGCTGGTGCGCTCCCCAGAGGGCCGCAGCAGCCAGGGGAACTCAGCCCAGCTCTCCCCTGAGGGCAGCAGGGAGGCCCAAGGGCTGCGTGGGTAGAGAGCTGCAGCCAGGAGCCCGCCTCCGGGACCGAGTCCCAGCACTCTGATACGGGCTGTGCATGTGCCAAAAGGCATCTTAACCGAGAGGCTGACGGCCCACACCCACCTCCCCTGGGTGTTTTAAGAGTCTAAATGTACAAGCTGTGTGTGAGGCAGTGCGGAACACTCTGAGGTTGAAAATGGATCTCCCCGCCCACTCTCCAAACTCACCTCTTGCTCTTCCTGTAGTTCTCCAGTTGCTGGGCCTGTCTGTGCTTGTGTCTCTCGAGCTCACACTGGCCACACAGGTCCTCCAGGTGCAGCAGATGCTCCTCCACTTCCTCGAAGCTGGCCTCCAGCTGAGCTGGGAGTGACCAGACAGAAGCAGCAGCGTCAGCAATCGCAAGATGAAAGGGCAAGAAAATCAACATGCAGATTTTTAGGCCTGTTTTGCATTTGGTTAACATTCTTTATTCAACTTTCTTGAAACAAAATAGCTTACACTGACCTACAATAAAGTGCACTTCGCGTCAGCTTTTCTGAGTTATGCTTCAAAAGCTAAATGTTCCAGAATGTTTTGAAGACTCTATTAACCAGGATGACGATGAAATAGAACATTCTAATTAATCAAATCTTATAGCCTAATGAGCCCATGGACTACACATGCATAGCCAATTTTCACATAATTGAGAATGGCAAAATATAATTAACACAAATTATACCTAACATAATTTAATATTTATGATTTCGAGTTACTTTATCATTTGTTTCACCTCTGGTATGCCACATATATAAATCTTAAACACATGGTAGATACAAGGGCACATAAAAAATCATGGATAAGTGGAATTCAAAGATAAGCTTATCTTTTTTTAAAGATTTATTTTTTTTTATTGCAAAGTCAGAGATACACAGAGAGGAAGAGACAGAGAGAAGATCTTTCATCCAATGATTCATTCCCCAAGTGGCCGCAACAGCCGGTGCTGCGCTGATCCAAAGCCAGGAGCCAGGAACTTCTTCCAGGTCTCCCACACGGGTGCAGGGTCCCAAGGCCTTAGGCCGTCCTCGACTGCTTTCCCAGGACACAAACAGGGAGCTGGATGGGAAATGAATCTGCCAGGATTAGAACCGGCGCCCATATGGGATCCCAGCACATTCAAGGTAAGGACTTTAGCCGCTAGGCCACCGTGCCAGGCCCAGATAAGTTTATCTTGACAAAAAATTTTTTTAATTCAACGTTTTTTCATAAGATGTACTCTCCATGAACTTTCTGAAGACCACGCTATGCATAGATTATTTTTTAAAAGATTTTATTTATTTTTATTGGAAAGGCAAATTTATAGGAGACAGAGAGAAAGATCTTCCATCCACTGGTTCTTCCCAAGTGGCCGCAACAGCTGGAGTTGAGCCGTTCCAAAACCAGGAGCCAGAAGCTTCCTCCAGGTCTCCCATGCAGGTGCAGGGTCCCAAGGCTTTGGGCTGCCCTCGACTGATTTTCCAGGCCACAAGCTGGGAGCTTGATGGGAAGTGGAGCAGCCAGGATACAAACCAGCTCCCATATGGAATCTCAAAGCATGCAAGGTGAGGACTTTAGCCACTAGGCAACCATGCTGGGCCCACTATGCATGAGCATTGTAAAAAAAAAAAAAAAGAAGAAGAAGTTTATACCAAGGGCCTGCATAGTGGTGGAGTTTAATTCTCTATCTGTGGCACCAGCATTCCATATGGGTACCAGTTCATGCACGACCTCTGATTGAGATCTCTGAGATCTCTGCTAATGGCCTGAGAAAGCACTGGAGGATGGTTCAGTCATCCAACTGAACCCATGCACCCATGTGGGAGACCTGCCAGAAGCTTCCAGCTCCAGACTGGCCAAGCTTTGGCCTTGGCAGCCATTTGGGGAGTGAGCCAACAGATGGAAGATCTCCCCCTCTCTGTGATTTTGCATTTAAGTGGAATGAATAAATCTTTTTTTAAAAATACATACCAACATTAATTTATCTTTTAAACGTTTTTTAAAATATTTTTCATCGAAAGGCAGATTTACAGAGAGCAGGAGAGACAGAGTGATCTTTCATCCACTGGTTCACTGCCCAAGTGGCCACAATGGCCAGAGCTGAGCTCTTCTGAAGGCAGGAGCCAGGAGCTTCCTCAGGTTCACTCATGTGGATGCAGAAGCCCAAGAATTTGAGGCATCCTTCACTGCTTTCCCAGGCCACAAGCAGGCAGCTGGATTGGACATTGAGTAGCCAGGACACAAACCAGCACCCATGTGGGAGGCTAACCCTGGACACAGATAATTAGTGTGCTACACCACTGTGTTGACCCCAGAAAATGAACTTATCTTTTAATTCTGCCTTTCCACGAACGCTCTGAAGTGTCTGTATGTACAACTAACCCAGAAGCACAGGCTGCAGGTGCAGTCAGTGGCGGGCAGGGAAGGGTCTTAGCTCTGTCAGCTGACCTCTCGTTCATGGCACCAAAGGGCTCCAGGCAACAGCTGTGCAGCATCAGCTCGCAAGTGCTGGGCATGGAAGCAAATTCTGTCAAGCTAGACTGCAGAACCACTTGGAAAGTGCAAGATCTGGGGCAGCAAGTGGCTCTCACAAGGAAAGTGTGGGCACCTCTCTGACGGGCTGCAGCTCCCACGAGTGAGCATGAGAACCAGGCCTGGGGGCATGCCTAGAGGATAGAGAGTAGCACCCACCAGCGTAAGTGTGGGCTGCATGGTGAGGTCGATCGGGCTGAATTAGGCTGCAGCACCCACTGGCATGTATAAAAGCCAAATGGGATGCAGGACAGACTAGACCAGTCTGCTGCACATACTGGTTCGGGGAGGGACCAGGCCTGGTGGGAATTATCGGGGCTCGCTTCGACTGGACTGCAGTTGCTGTTGGTGTGTATGAGGGCCAAGTGTGTGGTGGACAGGGTTAGGCTAAGCTGCAGCACAAACTGACCAGTGACTGCAAATGCCACTGTGTGTAGGTGGAGGTAGGTGACTGGTTGAGCCGAACCATGTACTGCCTGGCACACACAGCAGTCAGGCCCAGGGTCACTTCCGGTGAGGTTTCTTTGGGCACCTCCACAACTGAACCCCTGGACTCAGAGCTCCAAGCATGGTGAAAATCACAGGATCTGTGGTCTGACCATGCAGTGCATATGTCAGAACTGGACCTCTTCCACTGAAGATGGTGCAGAGGATGCGCATGGGCGATGTGGCAGTTCACCCAGGCCTGTAAAGGACATCTGGACTCCAGCAGAAGCTGGAGGGCAGAGCAAATGGGACCACTCTCCCAGCTAAGCACTGATAGCGAGTATCTAGGTGAATGGAGACTCTAATGTGACCAGCGAGTAGAAGGCCTCTCCCAGGCCCCATCCTTCCACATTTCAGACAAGTAAACATTTAAAACAAGACGTTTTAGCTCCCGTCTTTTTATCTTGATTTAATACCGCAAACCACTACTAATGGAAATGACAATAACACAGTTCATGGTGGCCTGGGACCTGCCTTCAGGAATCACATAAAACCAGTCACTCACTTCATCATGGTATACGAGGGCAGGCAGACCTCATACATGAAGGCGGACCCTCAGATTACAGCCTGTGACCCAGCAGCAAACAGCCTGTAGTACAATGCATCTTCACGTTTGTCTGAGTTAACAGCACACTTGCAAAAGGGGCCAGTGTTGCGGAATAGCATCTTAAGCCTCTACCGTGACACCAACAGCCCGTATAGGTACTGGTTTGTGTCCCAGCTCTTTGCTAATGGCCTGCGAAAGGCAGTAGAAGATGATGCAATTGTTTGTGCCTCTGACCCCAATGCGGGAGACCCGGCTCTTGTCTTTGCCCTGGTCCAGCCCCAACCACTGTGGCCACTGGGCAGTGAATCACCAAATGGGCACTCTCTCTCTCCCTCCCTCGCTCTCTCTGATCAAACGCTGTGCATCTCATTTTACAACATCTTGTTCTGTGCGCCTGACGTCAAGTGGCTGACCTTCCCCATCCAGACGTGACTTAGAATCAACTCACAACGCACCCCACCATCAAGGGCAGTTGTGTGACCTCGGAATGCCTAAATGAAGTGATTTAGTAAAATCTAAATATTAATCACAGAACAATTATATCTAAAATTTCTAAAATGTCGTTAAGTGGTACTTCAGAAGTTTATGCAGGGGAAATGGGCAAAGCAATATTGCATTAATTGTCATTTCGATGGCATATTTCCATTGTTTTAAGTGAAAAAGTAACGAGAAGATGGTGCCTGGGAACTGGTACTAACAGCACTGGAGAAGAGACACTCAACTCATCTGGCTGCAACCAGCCTGGCAGGATCGTAAAATGGACAAAGGATGATTGTGGCTAACGTGATTATTTAAAAGGCAGTTTTCACTTTAATTGGAAGTTGAAAAAAAAAACTGAAACAATCCATTTACTATAGAATTCCTTTACTTCCAAGCTGCTCGGTTCCTTCGGCATCCTGCATGCTTCCCAAGCACACAGAGGACTAGCCGAGAGCGGGGCTCTGGAGCCCACACTCGGATCCCCGGCTCTGCCCCTCGTGAGGCAATGCCATCCGCAGGCTGCAGGCAATGTCAGGCGCCCGCACAGCACCCCAGAAGGGGCACTGAGCAGCAGCACCCCAGCTCAGCATGTGACGATGCATATAAAACACACGCAGAGAAATCTTTACAGAGATTATCTTTGTTACAGTCATTTAAAACTAACAATTTTGTATACCAGTATTGATCATGATGTAAATAGAACCAATAACGAACATGTTAAAAACGAAGAAAATTACTTCGCTTTCGTTGAAAATATCTCATAAATGACATGCATGTACTAGGCTATGTTTTCAGACTTAAGACCCCTGGAGGTGAGAGGAAAGAAATGTCAACTGATTTCCCTAAGAAGAAAAGTGCTGTCACAGGATTAATAACTGCTCTGTGCTGGCAAACGCTCTTCCACAGTTCTGAAGATGCTGGCTCTACTGGCTGACCAGACATACGAACTGGGTTAGCAGGCAGGCAAATGAATTTCTCACGGATGCAATACTGTAGTGCTGCCTAACTCAATCTTCTGCTAACAACATGAGGACCAGAGGAAAACAGAGTATTCTAGCAGAAGTCAGACTCCATTCAGAACAAGCTACACACCTGGCAAAACTACAGTAACAACGGTGTTGGGCCTGGAGCTAAGGATACCTGCGGCTCACAATGGATGGAGTGCCCAGGTCGCACCCTCAGCCCTGGCCCTTGCCCCCAGGTGGGACCCTCAGCCCTGGCCCTCGCCCCCAGGTCGCACCCTCAGCCCTGGCCCTCGCCCCCCGGGTGGGACCCTCAGCCCTGGCCCTCGCCCCCGGGTGGG